ACAGAGCGGTTCTCGAGTCCATCAAAATCCTTCTGCTCATGGAGCTCTCCAGAAACTGCGGAGGACTGAGGCGGAAGATCTGCTCCGTAAACCAAGATCTGAAGGAGAGAGTGGTCAGCAACCACATGGTTGTGCGACTTGGTATGCAATCATACATCAAGAGTTTCTTGAGATAGACCCCCACCCAAAAGAGAGTCTTTCAGCTTCTCTGTATGGTATCAGATGAGTATATGGGCTTGCAATATGACCTTATGATCCGTCAATCAGTGTAGGATGTGTTGACTCACTGAGATGATTCGATGCTTGCAGCTAGATTCATTAGCAAATGCGCTGAATAGCAATTGGACGATGGCTCTCTATCTTACCAGCTGCTGGTATTCTGATTTCAGAATAGTAACATAATCTGCGCCGAGCAGGCTGGTATTTGGAGGTAAAGTTCGCTGGTCAAGAGTCACGCGAGCATGAGCCGTGGTAAGGAATCCTCGCGTAGAAGATAGGAGGAACTCACAGCTTCAGTTCTGTCAAAAGCATCAGTACTGTTATTTTCGCTTTCTAATTCTTAAGACATGCTAGCAGAGATGAATGACAAAATGGAGCATGAGTACTTACTTCTGAGCAAAGGACCTAGAATAAAGACCTCCATATGAGGTGATTGAAGACATTGTATCTAGTACCAGAGTTAGCTGATAATGGAGTAAAAAGGAAGGAAGGAGGAGGAAGCAAACCAGTGAACTAAAAAATGGCATCTAAAGTAGATGCTTTCAGCCAAATCAGAAATAAAGTAAGGTAGAAAAGAGTTTAGGCAGAGACAAGGTGCATGAAAGGGAAAGACAAGGTAATCTCCTCGTCTTTGGGGACAGGCATATCGCAATCATTCAATAACCCCACGTTGACTTTGCAGGAGCGATCGGCCAGATGATCAAGGGAGTTGCTGATTTGGTCGTTTCGAAAGTATACTTCTATTTTCCTCATGTTTTTTCCACGCCCTCTTATCTCAGGCAGCTTGAACAGCTTGGGTCTATTGTTTTGATGAAACAGAAGTCCAAGGTGAACACATCGATGGCCATTGCTAACATACGAGACTACCTATCATCATGTCTATCTACGTACTATACAGAGCTCATCGATATACTCAGAGGTAGGCCAGATCTGAGGGTCAATTTGCTATGTGGTTCTCTCTCTTTTCAAACGTCGAATATGCGCTGTGTGACCCAACACTCACTTTTCCAGACACACCCTGTCTAGTGGCGCTGGACAAGTCAGACCAACTGGTATCTCCAAAAAAAAGACAAGGTCAAGTAAATGATGGTTCGTAGGACTTCGCATCAATGAAAAGCAAGTTCCACCATCCCTATGATCTGTCAACTCTTCCCATTGGCGACGATGCACAACCGGTGAGCGGACGCAAGGTGCTTGCTTGCTACGATTGCATATCCAACTAGCACCAGCCACAAAGCTCATCGCCTCACTGCGGATGCTCCATTGCTCATCTGCAGTATTCTGTACAACCAGTGTACAAATTGACGCGATAGCTGATTTGATCTTCCTGCAACCTAGATCCGAGAAAGAAAGCGACAGTGAACAGATTTGCGCAGCCATCCAGAAATTTGAGAAATGTCCGCAGTTGGCGTATAAAGATAAACAGACTTTTCAAAGAGTGAATCGTTTGATTATGGAAGATTAGCACGACCATATTTGGCGGTCGTGGGATTCAGCTGGCCTGATGAGCGTTCTGTTATTCCTGTGAACTGCTAATGGAACAGTATTTATGAAAGAATGAGTATCTCAAAGCGGCCACACGTCATGACGACGTCTGGTTTGCACTAGCTGACCGCTACGCACAGAGTGCAGGATGCGTTAATCATCGACAGACAAGCCCATTTTCAGCCAAAATGGGATTAGATGTGAGGCCGAGCCTCGGGTTGCTTCTTGCTTAGCTCACATCGGTAAAGTGTGAAGATATTAGCGATTGAAGAATGTGGCATGTGTTGTAATCTCAAAGTTTCTCCTGCATGCACATTCAGGCGAGGAGATTTTCTATCAGAGGCTCTACTCGGTATCTGCTGTCTGTGTCTGAGGCTCTCTCTCATCATCCCCATGTGGCCTTTGTGGAGCTCTTGGAGGCTCCGGTTGTTGCTCTATGTTTGGTCTAGTAGTCACTGCTTCCCTTCGTCTGATTCTCATTATCTGACCGAAATTGGCGGCAACCTGAAAGAGAAAGGTGGCAAGGAAAATGCCAATGACGAGGGTTTGAGACAGATATGGTTCACCGTCTTGCGGCGCAGTCCGCCGTTGGTTGGTTTCATATGTAGCAGGGCTGGCGGAACCGAATGACACAGAAACAGAGAAGGAGAAAGGCGAAAAAGAGGTGAGAACACTTGCAGATCGCACTGACGTGGACGATGTTATCGGACCCAGAGCCAAGGGAATGAGACCGAAGACGAGAAGTGGGACGGCTAGTCATAAGAGAGAGGCGAAAGATTGTGGAGTCGACCTGACCAAAAAGGTGTCAAAGTGAGTATAAAGTGTTCTCTAGAAAATTGATTGAGAACTGCTAAGGGCACTTGAGAACATACCACTCCCGGGCCTCTGCCCTTCTAGCCCACTGTGCGGTGATCTTCAGCCGCTTCCTAACACTTGTTGCTGACAGAAGCGCGTACTTTTCCTCTTCGGATACTGGGAAAACACAGGCAAGCCACCAGGGGAACTGCGCTGGATCTGAAGGTATATCTCCGTAGGCCATCAAGACACGCGGGTGCAGCCATCTGGCTCCTTCGCCCCGCCGCTTTCGTACAAAGTCCAGTGCCATCTGAAACAGTTCTTGCGTTGACATGGAGTCTAGTGGCTGTTGGGATGGCCGGGCTTCTGTTGAACGATGGGAGATGGTCGACGTCTCCCACGACTCCAAATTCTCCTCTTCTGCGATAGGAATATCGTCAACACGCTGTATTTGGCCAACGTGGTAGCCATCCACTATGTGAGATTTGATAACCTTGAAGCGCGATACACCATTGGCAAAAATCAAGCTTCTGCCGCCAGGAAGGGGCTCAAAGCGCTCGACCCTAAGAACTACGCCATATTGCATGAACTGGGATGCTCCTAGTTGTCCTTGCGGTCGTCCTAAGCGGTTATACATGACCATTCCAAACTTGCGCTCTCTACTCTCCATGACTCTTCGTATCATGAGGCAGTAGCGAGGTTCAAAAATACGCAAGAAAGTCGGCATAGTTGGAAATGATAGAGAATTGACGAACAAGGGTAAAATGGTTCCAGCATCTGAATCAGACTGCTCCTCAGCCAGACTCTGCCTCTGTGAAGCGATCTGGTCCGGGAAAAACAGCTGTGTAATGTCGGATATCCTCTTATTGACAGGCTCGGAATTTATGGTCGAAGACATGTTCAATTTGCGCCGGCAGATAGGACAGAGATCACTATGATCTAAAACCGTTGCAACGCAGCCGCGGCAGAACGTGTGTCCACAGGGTGTGGTCAACGGGTCTGTGATTAGCGAGTAACAGACTTGACAGTCCAGCTCATTCCGGATGGAATCTTTCAATCGCTCAAATAGTGCACTTGACTGATCAACATCTCCAGAGCAGTCTTCGAGAGCTCTCTCGTATATAATCTCCGTCGCATCGCAGTCGAAGCGTCCCTGCTTCACCAAGTTGTACACTCCCCTCAATACATCGGGACCAATGTCCGCACAGATTTGCGTTGGCTCCTGGCCCTTAAAGCCCTTCCAGGTCATCCGAAGCCCATCCTCCCTCTCATTGCTCGTGTCCGACGATGCCGCAGTATGCGCGAGAACTTCGTCAAAGACGTCCACGAGCCTGCTCAGTAATACATCGACCCCACAGTCGCCCACATAATGTTGCCCATGACAGTTATGCTTCCCTCTCCAGTAGCACCTGAAGCCTTGCTTTCGTCCCTCGTCTGCCGGATACGTGATTCCCTTCCGTTCATGAAGCGGGGGAAGACAAGCTCGGCAAAAAGTATTCCCACATGGCAGCCTGAGCGGAGAGCGGAGAGGCCGCAAACAGTGCGAGCATTGAATCAAACGTATGAGAGAATGCGCTAGGATGGGGTGAGAGGTCGTGACGCTGTCGGGGATCGTGGGCGCGGCGCTGACGGAAGTATCTCCATCGTGTGGAGAGTGTGGAGAAAAGGTCACTCGGTCCTCTTCCATTGGTACTGAGCCAGTTGATGGTCAGGATACGTGAGTGTAACTAATATGTATGGTGCAAGTAGTACTGAATATTTCACTATCTTCAGTATAAATTGCTGGAGTAGATGACACGAGGTGATAGATGACCAGCTTAAAACAGATCAATGTTAGTTGGGGTGCTAAAGGACTGCGGAGGCATAAGGCCTCGGCCATCCCGAGCTTTAGTCACTCCACTCACTCTTGGTTCCAACCAATCTGACATCGAGAGCTAAGCTACATCATACTGCACTGAAAAGCTTTCAGAAGCACGACCGCAGAAGTATCAGTAGTAGCTCATTCATGCTGGATATGCTGCATAAAAGGATGGAATGTGTATTTGTATGTACAGAATTGCTTGTGAGACGCTTCGTGAGCCGACGAGGAGCTCGAAGCCAAGAGTGCCGGTGAGCCCTTAACTGTTGATCAAGTCTTCGCCCGTTGAACTCCTTCTCATCAATTGTTCTGGAGTCTGGTCTCCAGCAGATGGGAGAATCCGGCGGAGTCACAAGAGTATAAGAGAACATAACATGGGGACATCTTTCATTGCTCATGACTGGACATGCCTGAACGCCATACCAAGACAGAAGGGGGTACTCTGGAAGAAAACGTAGCATCTCGCGTAGAATGCCTAACCTTGAAATCAGGAATGCAATAGTGTGGTTCGTAACCATCGTCGTCATTCACATTCAATGAGAGGAGGGGAAGAAAGAGATATGTATCGATGATGATTTTAACGTAGGATGAGGGAAAAGGTTACAAAGGCCCAAGACAGGTGGTCCAGCCATAAAACAGTCCATCAATCGGATTCTTGCGATGAGGCCGTCTCGGAATCAGTGTCTGAGTCTTCTTCCAGCACGATACGTCGCATTACACTCTTGTCAAACAGATCAAGGGCGAAGCGTCGTGCCGGTAGTCGGTAGTGATGACCCTCGAGGATGCTGAGAGTCTTGCAGAACAGGTGAGGTTGGCGAAATCGATCTGGATCCTTCGCTTTAATGCTACAGATTCACATATGTCAGCATAGTTTCTATTCGAGATAACCGTGATTTTGAACACTTGATCGGCTTACTTATGAAGATCTGTGGCTGCTCTTTTGGATAGAACAGTATTGCCCATGTCGACTATTAGTTTCAAGATCTTCTGATTGGTAGGATCTGGATCGGTCGTGGCCGCCTTGAATTTCTCATGAGACAAGCGTTTGGCTTCAACCGGCCGAGAATGAGAAGGGAAATCGACCTGCAATCAGAGTTCAGTATACTTTGGACGCCTTAACTGCTAATGTGTTACCTACCAAGAACAGCTTTTTGAAGTCCGTGGGCAAACTCAGCCCGATCGAGTCCCCTTTCTGGTCGACTGCGGAGTCCCATCCAGCTTCCCGGAGTACTTTCAAGCCATGTCGACTGCGAGAAATTAAGCCAAGAACAAAGAAAGCAGTGCCCCTCATCGTCAAGACTTCAGCGCTTTCGGCAATCTTCACAATCTGTTGGACAATGTCCGTTTCGAGAAACGGTGCTCCCAATTCCATGGAACCAACGTTGCCGACTGCCCAGAGGCAGCCCTTGACTTTGAGAAGCGCCTCGGTATCTTCTTCGTCCAATCGAAAGTCTCGAATAGTCCAAGCGAATTCACTGAAGTGGCCCGATTGTTCCAGAAGTCGACATCCCTCTTTCGTCCTCGCAAGTTCTCTGTAGAAATGGGGCGGTACAACTCCAACGTCCTGCAAATCCACGAAATCCTCAGGCGCAAAGCTCCCCCTGCGGGGTTGGTCAACGTAGGCTCTAGAAAGCGCAGCTTCCACGAGACCAACGTAGGCGTCGTTCCGCCCTAAGAACCAATCGTCCATTTCTTGCGTGATGTAGTCGAGGCCGTCCAAGTAATGATAGCCAACTGATGTCGACAAAAATCGTAAAAGTAAAGGTGCTCCGATCTCACCGAGGTGATCGAGCGAAGGTCGGCATTTGACAACATATTCAAGGTAGTCTCGATGGTTGCACGCTTCCTCAAGTATCTTGACGGCAATCTGACATACGGAAACATCAGGATCGTACAGCTGGGTTACCAACAGCTTAACAACCCAGTCCGCTTTACCCAGTCCCCCTTGAGCGGAAAGATGCACATTTCCGACTGCGTACTTACGCAGCAGCTTCGTCGCGAATATGCGGATATCTTTAGAACCAGTAGTGAGAGCTTTAGACAGCAGAACTCTCAAGTGGCTTTCTTGACTGTAGTCGAGGTTACCCAAAAGAGTTTGTATCAGATCGTCCCGATCCCGAAGTTCAATTATATGGTAGAACATGTTGAGCATGTGCCATCGCTCCATCATAGCAAGGCCATTGGGGTCGCCGCTTAGCGTGCCTAACATAGCAAAGTATCCTCCGCTCAACGTGGTAGCCATCTGCTCTCGCGAAAAAAGAGGCGAGGAGGAGGTCAGTCCGCTCATGCGGTCGACTTGTGCGAGACATTCAGCGACCTGCCTTAAGAATTTGTTCTCCGCCAGATACTTCGTTCCCTCTGGGACTTGGACTAGAGTGCGCATCAACGCGCATCCAGTCCGAATATAGCGCTGATTCGGCTTGGTGTTGGGAACCATAGAGAATCTGTATTTGAAAGGTCGATAGAATCCTATGAGTCGTTTCATAAACTTTGAGCCCTTTATGGCCTCGTCTAGTCTCTTCGGGTTTGTTAGGGGCCCTTCGACAATACGATGGATCAGGTCCCATTTCCATTTAATGTAGTTGACAGTATTCAGGACGTTTGTCTCCAATATCGCATTGCGGAATTGCGTCTCATCCATGGCGGGACTCAGTCGATCTTTGCCTTGGTCGCCAGACAGAAGTGAAGCAGAAATGTCCACATCGACGTTATAACGCCCTGTTCCATTGGAGTAGCCTACCGAGCGAGCTAAAGTTCGGTTTATGCTCTCTATTTGATATATGGTTGAGCTGCACACGTCGTGGTTCTCAACATCAAATTTGACGGCTGGTGGGAGTAAATGTGGAAGAACTTGGAGTTTCGCGCTGATACGTTGAGGTAAGGAATGATGTGCCAACTTTAACACCTCTGTCAGAAGCAGTGTAGCTTTCCGCCTGAGTGACTGATCAGTTTCTTCCTCGATGAGATCTGAAAGAGACTGTTCCTGGTTAGAGTATGTACGGAAGGAGAAAGATTCATGAGAAGCATACCTGTGAAAGTCCGGCATCAATCAGCGTCGCGAGAATCAATGTCGAAAAATGCGCCGTCAAATCAAACCTATCATCATTGCTGTCGTAAAATGCGCGAATTGGTTTTGCGTCGGACTCGGATCTGAGGTTAGCAACTCTGCCATACGTGGTGAGTCGGCGGCCAGCGAGAAAGGAAGATGACCATGAAGGTGGTTTGATTCGGAGGGCATCAAAGAGTAGTTCCATAATCAGATCTCTTGCCTGTGGATCTGGGTAGTGAAGCGATTCTAGGAGGGATTGAAGGGGTTTGGCTTCATGTCTTGCAAGGATTATCAACCCAGGCCATGTTTTAAGCATTGCGGAAATGGCTTTGGCAGACGATTTCAATCGTCCATTATGAATAGAGTCCGAAAGGGAGTCAGTAAATGGCGCGAGTACGGCCTCGAGTTCGCATCCTCCTTGCAGGTGTTTTCTGCTGTGTGGTGTATCGAGAACATGCAGGAAGCTTGCAATCAGACTTTCCGATGCGCCAAAAGTCCCCTCTGCTAAAGCATCGTGCAAAGTTGCAAATCCTCCAGCATAGGCAATCAGCTCCGGATCCTTGACCAAGATTTCAGCGAGAGTCATAATAGATATGTTTCGAAGACGGTCCTCCTGATGTTCAGCAATGGAGACGATCGTTCGCACAACAGCTCGCGAGATTTCGTGAACGCCGTCTTTCACATCCAGAAAAGCTCGGACGAACTTTAATGCCTGTTCGCGCTCAATGCTAGCTTTGCTCTCCTTGACTAGAGATAGTATCACCAGCTCATCTGTGTGCAGGGACCGGATGATTTGAAGTGACTTTCTGTCAGCTATGGCGTATCGAGTCAAGCGGTAGCCAGCCGCTACGACTTCTTTGCTGTCACTTAAGAGCATGACTTGAACGCGCAAGCCGAAGACGGACCATGCAAGGTCGTATTTTAGGGTTGGGTGACGTCTAAAGAGTTCGACCAGACTGTTGGCGCGTTCGACATAGTAATCTGGCGCCATCCCTTCAATCTCAAGCGCCTGTAATGTTTCCGCGAGGACGTAAGTAGGGGACTCCATCTCCGCCTCGGCTTCTTCCAATCGATCATCGTCAAGTGTGAGGTCGTTGTTCCGGGAGGGCGACCGCCTGGGACTACCCCGAAAAAGAGACATCGAAAAGCGATTACGCGGAGGAGTTGACGGCGCCTGCGCACGTAGTAATTCCTCCTCGAGCTCATGGTGTAGTTCCGCAAGCTTGCGATTGGACGAGCTCAGTTCGGATTCCACCCTCAACCGCTGATCCTTGGTATGTTTCGGGTCCTTGGCCAGAAGTGCCTCAAGCATGTTCTCGGTTCCCGTTTTGATCTTCATCTCTTTGGCGATCTTGTCGCGAATCGCAGCCTGGCGCTCCTCGGTGCTCGACAATTCATCCAACTCAACATTGCTGCTTCCTCGTCGCCTGTAGGTACCATCGGGTCGGGGTGTCACACTCCGCGACGTAGTCATGCTCTTAAGCTCTGAGCTGAAGCTACCAGGACCCCCGAGGGAAGGCGCTAGAGAGCCTCCAGAACCTCCCCGAGGGCGGATACTTGCACTGTTTCCAGACTGTGAGCGACCATTCCTCCCAGGTCTTGACGCGGTCTCGGCCCAGCTGCCATTTGCGGAGGCATCTTCCTGGCTGGCATACGACCGTCCATCACCCAGGTCACGGTGCTGGATCGACGTTCCGGAGAAACCTGAATTATATCCGGACGCCATAGGTCTCCATCTAGTCGCAAGTGGGAGAGTGCGTATCACCTATCGCGCAAGAGACAAAGGATGAAGGACCGCATTGAGCTCGAAGGAGGTGTATCAAGAGACTGTATAGATGATGCCGACACGGGTGTCTTGTAAACAAAGGCCGGTGACTGACTTCAGATCAGAATGAGGCGCTGTTTGGAGAATGAGGTGTTCGAAGGGAGGGGATGCGTGCGCCGCGGTCACGGGGGGCAGCTTTCCGGGAGTGAAACAAGATCGTACCGCAAGCTATTCGGATCGGCAGAGGTTTGATGTAGGTATCAGAATAATGGCATCATAGTGTCGCTTCAAAGGTTCGAAGATACTCCAAGAAGGGACTATACTCTCCCCTGTTGATGGTTTCCAGCTGGATCTCAAGTCTTGGCTACCACTGGCTGACTAACTTGGGTGACAACCTTATCGCCTAAGGCCGCTATTCATAATTGGTTTTTTGCTTGTACGACAAGTAATAAATCTCGTTCTTCTCGGTGCCCTTTGAGAATTAATGCATAAATTTATGCACCTTGTCTGGCTATTAATTCGAGTTGTCCAAATAGACCCTGCATATCCGATCTAAGAAGGCTCTTTTGGGATCAGTGCTCTGCAGACGTTGATGCACCTCTAGCTGTGAATATATACAAGACAAGCGGGCCAGGCGCTCTCTGCCAGCTTTAAATTTAGAAGACTAGTTGGTCCGAGACAGATCCAACGCTCGGAGAGAGTTATCAAGAGGCCACAAAAAGCTAGTACAACTAAAAGCAATAGTGGTATGATATTCAACTTCCCACTGACAATAGGTAGTAGATGGGCACATAAGATACCTCCCACCGTAGCTCTGACTGCCAGCTATCCAACTTCTTTTTTTATGTACCCTGCCCCTTCTCCTGCGAACCACTCTTGTTACGCTTACAAAGATGCCTTCCATAGCACAAGACAAGAAATACCAGGATGCCCTTGCACAGATGACCGTCGTGAGAGAGCCCTTGCCATCTAAGTGCTGTCATCGCATTCATCTTAGCCCAGACTTCGCTTGAAACACGATGGGTGATGGGTATCGGACCGAGAACTGATATGTCTTGCGCATAAGGCCGTGGGATAGGCATGAAACGAACCAAACTGGTGGTGCTGAGGGTTCGACCATTTTGAAAGCTAGTAATAAGATTGCTTCACGGATAACTTCCCAAAGGAAGGCTCCGGCAAGCAGTGACTATACAGAGGCGTACATGTTCTGATCCCTGGACATTTTCCGCGTGAGATTGAAAAGTATCATCTATGCCCTCTTTCTGTCGTTCGTGGTTCATCACATCATTATGGTTTCCCATCAACTTCCAAAAGCGCTTATCAAGTCCCCGTTGCTGTTTTCTCCAAGATCGTCTTCATCATCTCGTTTCCAAGCTTAACTGCGTCAGGGAAACGAGGCGCGAAGTACTGCTGGATTCGCTCAAAGCGATCACGGTAGGATTCGAAATCGCCAAACGAAACGCAATCAGACCAGGCCTATTGATTGTACGCAATATGTCAGCTATCCTGGGCTTTTGAAGACAGCATGAGAAGCCTCCTGGCCCACGACATCACTGCCGTTAGAACATCAGGCGAGATTGAGTACTTACCCTGGCAGCGAATGTGAACTCTAGATCGTCTGAGCGAAAGGTTTTGTCGTCAATTGCGGTATCCAATGCCTCATCGAGGAGCTTAGGGTTGCGGAATAGATACTCAGTGACCCCCAACCACAACCGGAAGAGCTTCACAGACCAATTAGCAACTCAACATGGAACGATGTAAGCAATGCAGCTGCGGCATTAGCGTCACTCACAGGTGTTGAGCAGATCATATGATCATAAGGGACGATGCCCAATTTCGACCAACAATCGACAATTGCAAGAAGACTCAGGTGGTTGTTCGGCGGGTGATACTCCCGAGGCCGGTTCGAGAGGGAGAAGCGATCCAGGACTTCATCTTTGAGGAGCAATTCCTGACCCTCAGTACCGTCCTTGAAGACAGCCGCGCCGGCCGCCTTGACTCGACGTTTCAGCTCCTCTCGCTGTCCACCGATCATCAGTTTATACAGCTCCGTTACGGATTGGGCATAGGTGCGGATCTGTTCTTTTGCAGCAGGGTTGAGGATGGCGAGGCCAGCATAGACATGCCATTTGTTAGAGTAGATGCGCAATGTGATGTTGATCTTGACGTTTTCAATTCCGCCAACCCAGCGCGACATTTCCCAGGGGAACTGATTGTTTGCTTGCCAAGCCGTTCCCATGCTTAAAAAGGCTGCATGTGTAACCGCTTGGGTATCTGCAGTGATCCGGTCATGCATCTCGCCTGTGAGGTAAACATATTTGGAACCGAACGATGAGAATACTTCTTCGACGAACCGCAAACTCTCGTCCGAGGCACGATGCTGAATCAAGACCTGAAGCAAACCGTGTTATTATGCAGGAAAGACTCGCAGTAAGACATGCATGTCATACCAGAGGTTGTCCCTTCGGGTTGACCTGGGGTCCATGGAGCGAATGACAAGATAGGATTTCTACATCTGGAGGAAGATGCTTCTCAAATGCAGCTAGTTCAGGCGCCTTGCAGGATGTCTGGCCGCCAACGATCGCACCGACCTTGGTTGCTTTCCACGAGTCAGAAAATTGATACTAAGAGTGGTGGTGGTATCCTTTGCTCGAACAAGGACATACATGGCCCATACTGTGCAACTACCCTGTCGATGACAGCAGCCTCTACACTGTATATAATATAATCGCTAATTCTTGAAACCAGGTGTCCATTCGGGAGTATAGTGACACCTTGCTATATATACGATGAGCATGGACAGCATCAGCTGTGAGCAAACGACGTACTTGAGAAGCAAACTCCTCCTTTAGACGTTCATAGTTCTGAGGAAGATCACATGCATTTACCCTTTATAAATAGTGGTTAGTGAATTTCAGCCGCATGGACTTAGTAGAGTACGATTGAACCTGAGAAACTTGAGAGTTAGCACTCAGTTTGAGGACGGCAATATCAGAGCTTTGAGAACCAAGGAATCCTTCATGAAAATTTCAGACAAAAGAAATAAAGGTAGCTGAGATTTTACATCATTGACAACCTGACAGTCAACCACAGACCAGAATGGCGTAGCGGTGCAACCGCCAGGTCATGCTCGAGCCAAATGCACTCAAGTCATCATGTAAAAGGAAAAGAAAGAAGAGACAAAAGAGAGGATGTCTTACCTATTACAAGCAAATGATGGTGGCCAATAGGGAAATGTGATGATTTACCTCCATCCTGCGAGACTGAGCCGCTGGGCATACATCTTGCCCATGTCTCCCAAACCAATGATGCCAATCATGGCATTTTCCTTGGTGAGGACCATATTGATTCTTATTTAGCTGCACCAGGCTAACTAATGAGCGAAAGTGCAGCAAAGACAGTAGACAGAAGATAAGACGGATATCTCTAGAACCATCAGGCTATGCTGATTATTCAAAGAAAAGTGTGATCCAAGAAAGATCAGCACTGTTGATGTCTGATTGTCCAGAAGATGAGAATCCGACAGAGTGGTGGAAAATTTGACTCTTAGCTTAAAAGCTCCTGGCTGACCGCCCACCGGCCCGGCTGCTGCCGTCTCACCGAGGATATTGTACCCATTCTTTCTGCCTTTCTGCCTCAGGCTGCAACTCGCTTGACCGCCGCGAATTAACTTCTGGCCAATCAGCGCGGTGCAGCATTCGTAGGGCACACACAATCTCCACTTTTTGTATATCCAACTCCATCAGCGTATCTTGATTTTCTCTTCTTCTCTTGCTCCATATTCCATCCCACGACCAGCACACCCAAAATGCCTCCCAAGAAGACCACCACTGCCGCCAAGGAGAACGTCTCTCTCGGTCCTCTGGCCGGAGATGGTATGTTTGAGGTAATGCGAATTTTGCGCATACTTGACTCTAACAGTCGTGTACAGGCAAGCTCGTTTTTGGCGTTGCTCGTATCTTCGCCTCTTTCAACGATACCTTCGTCCACGTTACCGATCTGAGGTTTGTTTTTGACCTTCGCAACTTTTGGCCTCGCGCGATTGATACCCTCGAAGAGCGATGCGCAATGGAGTCTCCTCTCAGACAAGGAACTAACATGGTTCTCAAATAATAGTGGTCGCGAAACCATCTGCCGTGTCACCGGTGGTATGAAGGTCAAGGCTGACCGTGACGAGTCTTCTCCCTACGCTGCCATGTTGGCTGCTCAGGACGTCGCTGCCCGCTGCAAGGAGCTCGGCATCAACGCTCTCCACATCAAGATCCGTGCCACTGGTGGTATGTAGCGAAACATTAGGTGACGGTGTGGGTTGGAATAAAAGAGCTAATTTTATATCACAGGTAACGGTACCAAGACACCCGGTCCCGGTGCCCAGTCCGCTCTCCGTGCCCTTGCTCGTTCTGGCATGAGAATTGGCAGAATCGAGGACGTGACCCCCACTCCTTCCGACTCTACTCGTCGCAAGGGTGGTCGCCGTGGTCGTCGTCTGTAGACGTGTGCGGGTGTGTCTTTGTCCAGGCTGTGCAATTTCTTTGCATGGCTGGGCTGGAGGCTACCGCCAGGGCCTTGTGCCCGCGGATGTGGATGGAATAAACGCGAAGAACGGCCCTTATCGCCTGGTCTTCAATTTTTCTCTCATGTCCAAAAGCTTTTGTCTTCGGTTCGGGGTCTCATAGTCTGTTAGCCAGTATAGCAGCTATCTCTGCCAATATAACCAGAATTGGAGCATACTCGGGCTTCGTGATGTAGCGAGATCATCGTAGATTGCCATATAAGTCCTAGTAGTCTACGGTATCATGCAGATGTCGGTTTAAAGTAAAGAGGGAATCAAAGATGGATTTGCAGGTCAGTTTACAGCCGATCTGAAGGCTGAACGGTGAAGTGGCACTTGTCGAGGTGATAGCTAGTGCGTGCGGACGTTCAAATTCGATAAGAGCTTTGGAGCTTTAGCCACTCAATCCTTTTCACCATCACATCAAGCACAATCATTCTCCCTTAAGTATTCCAGTCCTCAGGTCCTACTAACTCTGCCATCGCGCGCCTCTTTTGACGTTGTTGCGGACAAGTCTACTGAAGGACGGCTGATGCCATGAACTGACGTCAAGGCTCAGATCTGGACCCCAATTCACTTTCACAACGGCAGATCCTTGAAGGGCTTGAATAGAGCAGTCGCATTTGCTGCCTCTCCAAGTGGTCGCTAAAATTGGACTTACAAGAATAACACTGCATCCACGTCCACAGCCATGCCTCTTCTCTCGCCCTCCCCCACCATCCTCGTCCCCCACCTTCCGGCAAAGACCCTCGTCGGCATTGACCTCGTCACCTTCACATCGACACGCAATTTTCACGGCATACGAGACCTACCGAATGGTTGGCACTTTTTATACACTGGAACAACGGAAAGCCTTTCTCTGAGATCCGGGGGTTGGTTCTACGTTGGCGATATCAGCGTCTTTGATGAGAGTCACAATGGGACCATAGTACCGGCGTCATCCAGAAGTTTGGGGTCGGATATTTTCGTGTGGAAATGGAATTCGGAGACAGAATCACTGGAGCCTCTGCGAGCAAGCAGCGATGCGGACAGGCAGGAGGCGATGCGACATAAAGCGAATTTAGGCGCTGTCTGGCAGCGTGGTGGGCTGTTCCGGTACCGCAGTCGTGTCTCGTCATCGCGGACATCGCCGTCGCACTCGCAGTCGCAGTTGCAGTCGCAAGAGCACCAGGGTCCTGTTCAGGAAGACATTGATGAAGAAGACGAGGAAGAGGGCAGAAAAGATTGGGCAGACTTGACGAACAATATTTCCCCAAGGCTTCTGTCACGGATTGTTGGCGACCCTGAACTAGACGTTGATGGTCGGCCTCGGTGGATGGTTACGTCCGGTAGCACTGCAGAAAGGGATAGTGATAAGATTCCAGGACTTCCGGATACCAACTCAGAGGATCTGGCTAAGGTTACCAGGGAGCAGGAAACTGCATTCTCGTTTCTTCCTGTTGACCTGAAGCGCACATGGAGAGAAGGAGCTATTGGGCGGGAGAGGACCGAGGCGGCTCAAGATCGTTCATGGGCATTGGGGGACCTGATTCAACGACACTCCAGTGGTGGAGACCGTGGAGAAAAGACGGGAGAGGCACAGATCCTGGGTGAACTTCAATTCACTTTCTTGATGGTTATGACGTTGATGAACTACTCATGTCTGCAGCAATGGAAAAGATTGCTGGAGCTAGTCCTGACCTGCCAGAATGCAATCAAGGATCGTGAGCCTTTCATGGTGAGCGTACTCCGATTGCTTCTGCTACAGCTAAAACGGTGTGATGATGTCGAAGGTGGACTGTTCGATATTGACGGAGCCGATGGCGGGGAATTTCTGCGCAAGCTCCTGATGAAGTTCAGGCGAACCCTATATGAAGTCGTCGACAACCCTGGTCCTACGCTGAAGGCCGAATTCGACAAGCTGGCTACATGGGTCAAAGACGAATACGACTGGGAATTGGATCGCGAAGCCTTTGTCCGCCGGGGCATGGTCCAGCTGGAGGACGGCGAGGAAGTTGAGCTAGAAATGGAAGATGATGGAGACGACGAGACAGGGGAGTATGCTCCCCTCGTTGTCGATCTCGGCGAAGGGAACACGACGCAGGATCTGGACATGGACAATGTGGATACGCCATAGACGAGTATCTTCTGCTTAATGACACTCTAGTATGTAATTCAGTCGACTCTTTACACGTCATCGCGGTTCCTTATCGAGTCTGTGCGCCATTCACCTGTGCATCTCAAGTAAGCGACTCATGATAATCGGAAAGACGTCTATACCACCACACGTCAGTTATGTGACGAGGGAACAGATCTTCAGCTTATTCAGATATTGATCAGTTACTCTGTGGGCAAGCTACGATGCCGACACCTCGTTCAAGGCGATTCAAAATAAGGCATTTCAACGGTCGTCAGGATAAACCTCCAGGCCAACAAAAAAGATTTGAATAGGTATTTACAATTCCAAGAGCTAAAGCTCGGTACATAACTATATAAATTGGCAAGCTCAGCGTGAAAACTCCGTTCTAACCATCATCCCGCATGCAACACATTGTCACATTTGAGTCTATGTCTATTGGCAAAAGAAAGGATGCATCCACTTTAATTTTCGACCTCTCCCTCGATCACATAAGACCATTCGTGGTTCTCCTTGCCATACATGATGGCGTCCAACCAAGACCTGATCTGGGCAGCGTATCCTGCACGCTCAACGCCCGCATCAACCATGTCCATATCGAGATCGCCGTTCCTGACGAGCTTCACAGGAGTGATAAAGTACTATTTTGCATTAGCGAAATGATGAGTGAGAGTTGTCGAGCGAAGAGTGACTTACAGCAGTGCCGGAGACGAACGCCTCAACAATGCGTCCCTCCTTCCAGGCCAGCTCAACATCTCCGATGGTAAGCGCCTTTTCCACAACGTCAACAGGTGCAAGGCTTCCGACGGGCTTGGCCAATCTCGACCGTGCCAGCTCCAGCACGCTGCGGCGGGTGACGCCGGCGAGGATCAGCTGGTTCTCAAGGGGCGCGGTGACGAGCTCGAGTCTGCCGGTATCCTTGTTCTCCCAGACAATGAAGAAATTGCTGGCGCCGGCCTCGGTTACTTGACGGTCCTCCCCGAAAAGCCAGAGGACCTGGTCAAAGCCCAAGGCTTGAGCTTGACCGTGAGCTGACAGGGAGGGGCCATAGTTAGCTCCGAGCTTTGCGTAACCGAAGCCACCAGGCCAGGCACGGATTGTCTCAGGGTGGGAGGCGAGAAGCTTCAGGCCTGGCTTGGTGCCAGGCTCGACGGGCTTCTTGGATGGGTCAGGCCATGGCACGGCGATAATGAAGAGGAGGGCTTCCTTGGGTGTTTGCACGCCCAGATGAGGGCCGCTGCCGATCAAAGTGGGACGAAGGTAAAGGAATCGACCGGGTTGGTCCTTAGGGAGCCAGCCTATTGGGGGGGGGGAAAAAGCCTTGTTAGTCCCTGTCAAGAAATCCTTTGGAGCAGGGGTGCATACGGGGTCCATCTATCTGCATCAACTTGGCGATAAGGACCTTGAGCTCCTCGAACCGGAAAGTGGGCAAAGAAGTTCTCTGGGCACTCATGACAAGTCTCTCGCCGTTGCAGTCTGGCCGGAACAGACGCAATTTGCCGTCGTATCCTCGGTACACCTTCATGCCCTCGAAGCATTCCGTAGCATAGTGCAGGCAGCCGGCGGTCGGGGGAATGCTGAGATTCTCGTATGGTTTGATTTCGGGGGTCTCCCATCCATTGTTCACGGTCCATCTGACGGTGACCATGTGGTCTGTACAGTGCGAATGACTGAGTTCCTCCGGGGAACCGGGTTCAGGAACCAGACGCAGGTTGGTGGACCGAGTTACCTTGACGGTCGAGGCATCAAGCTCTCGTACTGTCTGCGCAATGGAACCCATGATTGGCTTGGTGTGATGATTGCTGATACGTTTCGAAAATTGGAATATCCAGAACCCGGTTATGACAAAAGGTGCAAAAGTCGAGCGACAGCTAAACAAGGGGCTCGAGGTCAGGACTTGTGAGTCACTATCAGATCCGGCGATGGTGCCGAACTATAACAACCGCAGGAACCAAGTCGAATCTGCCTGCGATAACGGAGCCTGAGGGATACAAACAAAGGATGCCGGTCTACAGAGGAAGACAACCCGCTTAGACCGAGTTCAGGTAATTCTTACTGTATAAATGATGAACTATCTACTCCATGTTTTCTCCGATTGAGAAACACCGGGAGGGGCGAAAGCAAAAGTTTTCTTTGCCGAGCGGAGCCATTCTCTGGGACTTCGCCATCGATATCCGCAGCATGCAGTGAGATCAATTGCGATGATCTAGCCTTGATGTCCTCTTGATGGATCTCTCAATGCGGTTACAGGATGCTTCCGAGAACAACTAGCTTTATCAACATCCCTATCTAGCCGCTTTCTTCATGACAACAACATAAATTGCTTCATCGCTTTCCCTCTTGATGACTTGCAGGAGCAATAGGATTAAATCGCGCTGGTCCGCTTACGGTATCGCGCGACTGCAGAAATGGGCAATATCTAGGCCGTTTGTAGTAGGCGGAGAGATGAATGGCACTTACCGCCTTCTTCTTTTTTAAACCTGGTGCGGGATGCCGATTGTAGCCGAGCGGCTAACAAGGGAGACCTTTGATTCCTGCAAGATTCTAGGTGTGAGGATTGAACTACCAACAGTCAGATACCCTTCAGGCATTTCTAAGTGTCAAGATCTGAGACTACGACTAGATGTTTGAGTTGCGAAAGTAGAGCTATGTATTTCTTTGTCTTCGATCAAGTCCAAGACGCACAGTGACGACTAAGCGCACCAGACAATGATCTGGGCACCTGCGGAAGGATAAAGACAGACCATACCGAATAACGTATTCGGTAAGCGAGTCGGCCACGTAAGCGAGTCGGCCACCCCCATCAAGAATCACCACCCCTTTGAAACCAAGGCTATTCAGCCATCCATATCACCACGAAAAATGCCCAAATCATCAAAATCCTTGGTGGAACGAGAGGGGAGGATCTCCTTAGCAGTTAAGGCTATTCAGAATGGCCAAATCAAATCAGTTCGTGAAGCTGCTCGTGTCTTTGAAGTTCCCCGGTCAACACTTCAAGATCGTTTGAATGGAATCAAATTTCGCAAGGAAACCCGCGCCAATTCCCATAAGTTGACTCCTATAGAGGAAGAATCACTTATTAAATGGATTCTCTCATTAGATCAACGTGGTGCACCGCCAAGGCACTTCCAGGTCCGTGAAATGGCTACAATATTGATCCAACAACGTGGTCAAGATACAACTTCCTCAGTGGGAGAGAAATGGGTATATAACTTCATTTCCCGCCATGATTCCTTGAAAAGTCGGTTTAGTCGTCAAATCAATTATAAACGGGCGAAATGCGAGGATCCTGAAGTTCTTCAAGCCTGGTTCAAACGCGTGCAAGCCGCTATATCAACTTATGGTATCGCCAATGAAGATATCTACAATTTTGATGAAACCGGCTTTGCTATGGGCCTGGTGGCTACCGCGAAGGTAATCACACGATCATCCTGTGAAGGAAGGCCCTTTCTTATACAACCGGGAAATCGAGAATGGATAACTTCAATTGAGTGTATCAACGCCTCCGGATGGGCATTACCAGCATACTTAGTGTTGAAAGCAAAGACTCATATTCAGGCCTGGTATGAAGGTAATACTCCAGCTTCATGGAGAATTGCTATATCATCAAATGGATGGACAACACGAGAAATTGGTGAACACTGGCTCAAAGAACACTTTATTCCTTATATTAAGGACCGAAGAACTGGCCAATATAGCCTCTTAGTTCTTGATGGGCATGACTCTCATTTAACACCTCAATTTGATGATATATGTCGTCAAAATGATATTATTCCTATTTGCATGCCTGCAAATTCCTCACATCTCTGTCAACCTTTGGATGTGGCCTGTTTCTCACCATTGAAACGAGCTTACAGTAACCTCATTGAACGGCTTGTACGAACAGGATATCACCATATTGATAAGGTTGACTTTCTTGACGTCTACCCAGAAGCCCACGCCCAAGCCTTCAAGAAGATGAATATACAGAGTGCTTTTAGAGCCTCAGGATTAGTCCCTTTTAATCCTAACCAGGTTCTGGATAGCCTCATCTTTTACAAGGAAGACAGCCGTCCCAGCAGTCAAGGCACTACATCTACGATTACCAAAACACCGATAAATTTGAATCAATTCAAAAAGCATGAGTCAGTGATCTCTCAATTACTTCAAACAAACCCTCCTACCTCACCAATACAGACAGCAATATCTTACATCTGTAAAGGTGCAGAGATAGCCTTGAACCGTGCTATTCTTCTTGAACATGAAAACCTTCAACTTCACCAGGCCATTGAGAGACGAAAGAATAAGCAGAAGCGTAACCAACACCAAATGAATGGTTTGAATGGCTTCACAATCCAGGAAGCACTTGAGGCATTCAACCATGTTCAGGCCTTAGAGGAAGCAGCTGGTGATACAGGGCCTGGAGATGATCAACCACGCCGTCGGGCACCACCTCGGTGCAGTATGTGTGGTGTTTTAGGACATATACGTACAAGATGTCCTAATCGAGTAGCTGCCTGAATTCAGCGCGTTTTAATGGTTAGATTAACGTGGAATAACTTCCTTTTTTGTATGTAAATCAGAATTCTAGGATATGCCTTGACCGGGTGGCCGACTCGCTTACGTGGCCGACTCGCTTACCGATTACGTTAAGCTTCATTAGTCAGACTTCTCTCCCAGGAATATGGAATCGGATCCGATAGATGCGTTAGTACTAACCTTACTGAGGACATCTTCATGGTTGAACCATCTCTCATCCCAGCCGAAGTCCGGACCTTTCCCTTATCAGTTGAAACCGTAGATATGCCAAAACCCCCAGGATTCATCACAGCGGGCCCTTCACCGTCAGACTGGAACAAGGTGCTTGCCAGAACCAGTCCATTGGTACAGACACCTTGATCTGGCACTGGGCCTCAAATCCATAGTGTTAGGTATTGAACCTCACCTGAACCATTTCGAACATGATGTCCAGAGATCATCCGTACATCCACCGCAGTCTTAGATTTAGATGCTTTTCACACTACAAACTCGACACGGTACCTACCTGTGCATCACCAAATTGAAGTCCACTCGGATTGATGGGTATCTGAAGTCGAGCTGTTCGTGGCTGGCTACTACTAACCGGATATCCTAAATGCTGAAAAGTATTCCTCATCATCACGTAGTCAGCTAAGTACCTTTGTACTGATGAATATTAAGCCAAGTTATTAAATAACTGGGATTAATGTGCATAAACACCTGCCTATTCTATGGGTACATCTGCCCTGACTCATGATGCAGGAGGCAAACATTATCTCAGCGTGATGTAAAATTCTTATTAGGTATCAATATCCGCCATGGATGTGATCTGGCAATCCTCAACCATCAAAGACCTAAGAATTAGGTGTTCTGTACGACTGCACAGACAGATAGGTCGAGGCTGGGGTCCCCTATTTTCCTGTTTCGGTCATCCTTCAGGTAATCGGATTGGCGGTCGTGGGAAATATTGGTATTACGGATACAGAGTTAATAGGCCAGAGGCTGCAGGACAAATTAAAGAGTAGTGAGAATACCAAGGCCAAGGTTGTCTCTTAATACTTCTTGTCAATCGAGAAGAATTACTTGATAGGTGGGATGCAGGGAAAGTCACATATCGCCACGGCTGTGACGTTCCTGTGCAACGACCAGTCAGATTGACTGGGAGTGCAACGAACTATTTCCGTTGAATGGTTGCCATGTACATTATCCTATTTTCGAATCAGTCATACTCGCTAGTGGTTGAGGTACTCAGCTGGGTCGCATTTTGGTGGTCGGCTCTACCCTAAGTTGGATTATGGAGAGGTACCTAAGCTACGGGTCGGTTGTGATATGTATCCGCAACTCTGTTGCCACGCACTGCCGCAGTCCACGCTTCTCAGCTCCACATGATGAGTAGCCAAACGAAAAAGCACCAAGCACCAAGACGAGCAAGAAGGGCGGGTCTGGCTTGGTTGTCATATTGACATCAAATGCAGACACCTCAACTTGGAAGCTAGGTTAATGTGTAACTCTCTGCTCCTTGGCAAACCCCATGCACGGGCTAGGTAGACTGGCTGGGCTGATGTAAGTCCAGGTAGACAGACTTAACACTGGATAGACGGACAGACAGACAGAAGGCTCAAGCAATGAGAACGCTCGACCCCCACACTATCCATGGCGTTTCGGATCGGTGGTCTCTTCCGCCCTATTATCTCATCGCTTTCCGTGTTTCTCCACTGCCAGATGACCAGGAGATAGAATTTGCATCAGTATCTTTCTTTTATGCACCTGTGAGTCCTGGACGTTCGGTCTGTTAGTGCGAGTGGGTTCATCAAGGTCGAATTTCTTGCTTGTGCGGTATCGTTTGGGTTCCTAAATTAATCAAGGGGACGGGCACATTTTACATACCTCAACATACTGAGATGGCGCTTGGTTGTATAGACAGTTGTAATCAAGCCGGGCTAGAGGGCCGTCAGACACGTGCCTACTCGGTAAGAATGAGAGGAAGAAGGATGTGATGGAACTGGTAAATGACGGAGAGCAGTTAGATGCTAAGCCAGCAATCAGCTGATGTAGACTGATTGCTCACTCGTGGTGCTGTATAAAGGTTACCAGGTATGGTGTAGCCAGGTCCCTCTAAAAGGGGGGGGTCTTTTTGACTGTTGGACCAGAAACATTGAGCTTCAGCTCTCTTTCCATGGACAGCCTCCTGATCTCTGCCCACAAGAGACTGTTCACAACGGTCTCAAATAGCCTATAACTAACTAGTTGTCCAGTACCTTACTTTACCTCAGCATGAAAAAAGGAGGCTCCGTCACTGTTAGTACCTTTGGTCCACATATGAATTAGTAGTAGGCTTGAACCACAGCCAAATAAGACTGGCTGGTTTGCGTGCGTCTTAATTTCTTCCGGCCAATCCAGGCCTGTTACCAGCAAGCTGTGTTGAGTATCGGTACCAACGCCATGACTATGCCTCGTTACCTTTTTGGATTTCCCTCATCCTTCAAATATTGCCACAAAGAGTTCCTATCAGCCGTAGACGGCAGTTCAGTAATCTTTTCTTCAACAAGCTTCCCCAGCATCTGCAACGAGGCTCCCCTACAGCCATACCGACGCCCACAACCCCGGGTAAGTCCGTCCATCCGTCCTCCCTGTCGCTACTTCGCTTCGAGAGGATTGGTCAAGGGGAAGCGAGACACGATAACAATTGGGGTCTGGAGCAAACTGTGATCGTCACGTATGGAGTTCGCTCTCTGGTCCAAGTGAAAGCTGCATGAGTCTGGATGTGTTATCACTGCCGCCAAGCCCTTTTGTTTGTCAGTATCAACATCCCATTCCTCTTTTCCTAAGGAGCATCGTCCCGCAATTACCAGTTCTTCTGGAGTGAATCAAAAGAAGAGAAAAATGGAATAATGTTGCGCCCTGAGGCCGTCTGTGTTCGCGTCCTGCGGTGAGACAGTTTCCTTCTGCCGAGAGTGAAGGTGTTGCCCGAGATGGCATCCGATGATCAGGACAAGCATCTTCCAGCCCTCGCCCCGGGCCCACGAGGTCCCATTACGCTGAAGACTACCACCGTATCACGGCCAAAGAAAATTTCCACGGCGTGCTTACCATGTAAGCAGGCGAAAAGAAAGGTAGGAGTAGAGGTTTTCTCTGTCAGCTATAATCGCAGAACAAACGGGACAGGTTCATTAGGCAAGGTCTTTCCGCGTCGTTTCCACCTCCTTTGGCTTCAACCAACCCAAATACACCAGTTCACAGCTAATGGTTATTGACTTTCTTTTGAAATTGCAGTGCAGCGGCGGACCACCACCCTGTAAATCCTGCAAGATTGCGGATGCCGAATGCGTCTTCGACGAGTCCCTAGACCTGAGGCGGAAGGTCGCGGCTAAACGAAACCTCGAGGAGTTGTCCTATTACCGAAGCCTGCTATACGCTCTCCTTGAGTCACTTCGCAATTCAGACGAGACCGAATTGAACAAAATCCTGGATCACATACGCGGTTCTCCATCGCTCAACAGCATTGCGGCTATCGTGGCAGGGCCGACCATAGACCCAAGCGATGTCAGTTCTGAGGACCTCAAAGGTGGTTCTGAGGAGTCCAGCTCGCAAGCTGGCTCGCAGGAACCCGTATACCTCGATATACACTCTCGAATAACCATGGAGAAGCTTTGCGATATTCCTCTAGTCCAGGTCCCTGCTAAGCCTTGGACAGCCGTCACCCATGATGGTCAACTTGTTTCGCATCTGGTCTCTTTATACTTTACCTGGGACAATCCCCTAGTGCAGATCGTGGATCAGAAGGTCTTCCTGGAGCATATGAAAGCAGGGAAGACGAACTCGGAGTTCTGTACGCCGTTACTGGTGAACAGTGTTCTGGCCATGGCAAGTGTACGATGTCTCCCCAACTCTGTTGAAGGCAGCGTTCCGATTTTGACTTTGGCAGGTGTACTCTGATTTCCCTGATGTCTTTGCTGTTCCCTCAGAAGTGGCTTCGCGCGGCCGGCATTTCTTAATGGAAGCAGAGAGACTTTGGAGAGCCGAGGAAGGCCAGGCTTCTCTGGCGAATATCCAGGCGGTAGTCCTGATGAGTTATGTGTATGTCGCTTGCATGGAGTGTTGTCGGGCTGGAACGCCTCCAACTTCACTACTCGTGGTTCAAGACGCTAATGTTTCTGAATCAGTTTGAAATCTCAAGGGAAGAGTCAACTCGGCTGGCTCATGCTTAAGCAAGGTGTGCAACTTGCCCAAGATTTCGGACTCTTCCAGGCATCAAGAGCAGTACCTCATAGAACGTGGTCCGTCCAATCTCAGCGTGTTGCAGCAATCACTGCATGGGGGATTTATATCATGAACTCGTATGGCCGAAAGCATCCAGTGGCGCATACATGGCTGATCTTTGTGACAGGCAGGTATCTATGGAACTACAAAGGGCACCGGCCTTAAAACATCCGGACTCCAACCTGTTCAGCGAGGAAGAAGCTACCGAAAAAACCATGTGGAGTCCATACCCTCTTACGAACAGGCTCGACTACGTCAGAAAACCGGCCCGTCTTCGTTATGCCATGCGGAAGTTGGCCGACCTGACGCTGATTACGGTGGACATCCAAGAGCTGTTATTTGAAAAGGTATTCGAGACAGCCGTCGAGCGACTCTGGGCAGCGGCGGGGGTGTTCGTTTCGCGCTTAGAAACCTGGCTCGTAGATCTGAAGGGCGCTATGGAAGATGAAGATCAGTTTATGCCACACATGTCGTTCCTGCGGTAAGCCTGTGGCCTGGGTCAGTACGAAATACCGAAGTCCTCACTCATAATTGCAGGATCAAGTGTCACCAAACAATCATGTCGATGTTCAGCTTTCTTTTGGAGCACATGATGGCTGAACAACCACAACACTTACCAGAGATCCAAGAAGCGACTAAAATTCGACTTCGGGCTGCGAAAGAAATCGGTTGTTGTTTGCGTCAGCAGCGCCAGACTTACGGTCTCGAACAGATTCCACGATACCTGCTCGACACTATCAATAGCAGTTGTCTTGTTTTGGCCACCGACTTGTGCGATGAGGAATCGCAAGAATTGTTTGCTGAGACGTGTCGGTACCTGGTCGCGTTGAAAAAGAGGCTGACGAAGGTGGAGGAGATGATCGTGAGAATTGAGTCTCTCGTGGGCGCTGATACCTTTGCAAGGGCCGCGGGTTACTTGCACTAGGCTCTGGGTAACCCATCCCCATTTATGCTTTGACGACCTCCAGGTAAGCCAATGTACGAAACAGATGGAATACTGACGAAGCAAATGAATACTAGGGCTCAGTCGAAGTCTTGTGAAAGGGGCCAATGAGGCGGAGACGAAGGGTGGGGACGGAAGACGGAATCTATCTGATGGCAAAGCGTTCAGTAACGAGAGTCATGAAGCAGTCAGTTTTGACAAAAGAGTCCTGTTATCAGACAGGATGTGTATGCTGAAGAGCATCCATCATATCGAAGTTGTACAAAAACGAAGCATGGCCGATACCTGCGTCATTGGCGGTCATTATAGCACAGCGTCCTTGGTTGGAAGTGCCGGCTTGACCAGATACAGTCAAGAAATTCAATGAACTCTATGACTGGGGACTCTGTTTGGAATGCTCGCTTCCCGATTTCTTGGAGAGATTATTCGAGTTCGTGTCAAAGAAATGGAGGGAGGGAGGGATAGGTGCTATATGGACGACCTGTGTGCTACCCGGCGGGAGAACGGTGGTATGATATCCTGTATGACTTGCAAACCGACTTGCAAAATGCTACTACTATGAAATTTGTATGGTAGATCCAGCATGTAAGCATGGTAAAGTAGGAGCTTCTACGAATATTGCTGCATAGCTGCGTCATGTATCCAAGCATTAATCCACGGTTGACACCATACTTCTCACTACTCATTATCCACGATCGTCCCGTATGGTATGGCTGTCATAGAATAGTATTTTACAGGCTTTTTTTTCCCCCAAAATGGTAGGGCAGGACATGGCACTCCAGCAGTCCAGAGAGCCACAGGCGGAGTACTCCATCGATGACGCTTACACAAATTGATACTTCCCCTGGTTTGCGCAATGTAGACCACATGGGGCAACAAACTTGATGTTCTACTGAACCCGGAGGAACCCCTGGAGCTTATCTTACCTTAGGTCTTGTCCAGTTGAGTGATTCGAGCCCTACTTATACATGGTCCTTCACACGAGCAGCTTTGGAGAACTCCAATGACCTGGTTATGAAATTCAAATGTTTTTATCATAACACACGGACTCACAGAGAGGACTAGTCTGCTTCCGCTTGCTAGTTTGCTCTAGGCTCTACATATTCGTGATTCCTATCCATTGGAGATCTTGTCGATGATAGAATCTCAGTCCTAATCCGAATGATGGTACTTAGAGAAAGAAAAGCCACGCAGCTTCTCATTTATAGCCTTAAGATAGGCACATTCCAGTTTGAGTAAAAGAAAACAAATTCATTGGTTCTCAGCCTAGGACTCCTTTCGCTCCGTCATGGCCACATACCTAGGCAGAATTCGGGATATGCACGGGATATGAAAGAAACTTCCTGATTCGCAAAGATTACTGTATGACAGTCAAGGAATATCACGTGGTACTTGCGACATAAATGCATAGATGACTCAGCTCAATTCCTATGCAGAGATAAGATAAACACAAACCTCTTCAAGCGAAAACCCTCAAAATTCGACGCCGCCGAAACAATTATCCCACACGCCGACGTCAACCAGCAACGCCGAACGACGTATCTCCCTCCGCAGCTCTCGCTTGCCGACCGACCCCGATACGATCTCACTGGATATTTTCCCGTTATCGGATCACCTCCAGAGTCAATATGTCGTACGAAGAGCGCGTCAATGCGCACCCTAACCTGGGCGACGAGTCCGATGTCGAGGAGGAGGCCCTCGTCAACGACTACCGCGAGCAAGTGAATTTTGACGACGGCATGAGTGAGCTGGAGCGGACAACATCCCTTGGAACTGGTTCCCAAACGCAAGATCTCCAGGCTCAGCTTGCCGCTGCTGCAACCCCGCTTGAATACCAGGCCACTCTCGAGACCAAGTTCGCAAGCTATGACAACTACTGCAGCTTGTTCCACTACATCCTGAACTCCGAAGGCCCTGTCGAGCTGGAGGTGCCATCTGTACGTCTCCATCTCTAGCCCACTTTGCTCTATGGAAGCAAATCTCCACGGGCTCTGTGTATTTTCTCCGCAGTTTCGCCAATGTGATTTCATGGCCGCTGTTGAGACAATTGCTAACTGCGCATACCTGTTTCTTTCAAATAGTACTACTGGGCCTGGGATGTGATCGATGAATTCATCTACCAGTTTGAATCGTTCTGCCGCTACCGTAACCGTGTCGCCCGCAGCGGCTCCAACGAAGAGGAGGCACAACTCCTGCGCGAGAACCCGAACACATGGGGCTGCTACTCCGTCCTCAACGTTCTTTACTCTCTTATTCAGAAATCGCAGATTAACGAACAATTGGCTGCTATCAAGCGCGGAGAGGATCCGTTGGCATTCGCTGGTGAATACGGCTCCCGCCCTCTGTATAAAATGCTGGGATACTTCTCTATCATCGGTCTGCTGCGTGTCCACTGCTTGCTGGGAGACTTCAGTCTTGCTCTCAAGACCCTCGATGACATTGAGATGAACAAGAAGGCCATGTTCGCCCGCGTCATGGCAGCCCACTTCACCACTTACTACTATGTGGGTTTCTCGTACATGATGATGCGTCGTTACGGGGATGCCATTCGCATGTTCAGTCACATTCTGGTCTATGTTTCGCGGACCAAGAACTTCCAAAAGGGTGGCAACAGCTATGATGCCATTGCTAAGAAGAACGACCAGATGTATGCTCTGATCGCGATCTGCGTGGCTCTTCACCCCACTCGTCTGGACGACACTATCCACTCGGCTCTGCGTGAGAAGTATGGCGAGCAGCTCCTTCGTCTCCAACACGGCGGTCCCGATGCTCTTCCTCTGTTCGAGGAGCTCTTCCGCTCCGCTTGCCCAAAGTTCATCAGCCCAACTCCCCCTGACTTTGACAACCCGGCTCTTAACATCGACCCTGTCGACCACCACACCGCTATTTTCATGGACGAGGTCAAGAACACCTTGTACAACCCTACCATCCGGTCGTACCTCAAACTCTACACGACCATGGACTTGAAGAAACTCGCCGGTTTCCTCGAAGTCCAGCCTGAGGTGCTCCGCTCTTGGCTGCTGGTGAACAAGCAGCGCAGCCGTCAGGTGCGTTGGGTTGAGGGTGGCCTGTTGGAGGGTGAGGTCGTCAGCGCGAATGACCTCGACTATGCGCTGGAGAATGACCTGATCCACGTCAGCGAAACCAAGGCCGGCCGCCGTCTGGTGGACTGGTACTTGAGAAACTTGGCCAGAGTTTACTAGATGGCCACCTCATTTCACTCCGAACCTCTGCCTGAGGCTTTGAACGAGGTATGTGTTATGCCAGTGCATAGGATATGTGAGGCATTTAAGTGGACACCGAGTAGTCCAGCGGTAACGCCTCAACCGCTCCAGGAGTTATGAAAAGCCGATCAGGGACTAGAGGTGGCAGCTAAGGGTGGTCAATAGGAATAGGGCGTTTGGATAACCCTAATCTTGAAGTGATGCCAATCATTCTTCCTGAAAGAAAACAGAGGGGTAAAAGAGGCAGTAGGGCGAGGATTAGCCCCTCTCATGATGAATTTTGTTCCGTGTCCCCCATTTTCTCTTTATCTTCATTTTCAATCCTTGTTTGTTCTTAACAAGCTGTATCCCAGGTTTACGGCCTTGATTTGCTCGGGACACGGGTTCGTCGCGATCAAAATGAGTTTAGATGGTTGATTCAGGGCGTAAATGTTACATTTATGTTTCTCTAATTCCATATTATACGGTCTATGCATCATGATTGCAAATAAAAGAAATGTCTCACTTCAGTAATGGTTCCTTGGGATTGGCGCGGCCAGGGTTCAACTTGCATATAATATATATAATATGCCTGTCACAAGATTCGGTGGGTATAGAAGCACAGGTCGTCACCCAAACGAGAAGTGGGGTATGGTATCTATTACTCTATCTGATAAAATATTGTGATATACATTGAAGAGAATGTGCAATCGGTTCAAAAATCTCAGCATCCAAAACCTGGTCAAGGAGATTATTCAATCCTTCACATCGAAACTCGTTCCGCAACCGCAGTTGCTCGTTGCCCGCGGATTATCAACAATCTTGAATTGACTGCCAATCAGTTCCATAGTATAGTCGACCGTGCTCCCCGATAAGAGTTCCAAAGACGGCTCATCCATGACCACCTTTGCTTCGCCGGTCCCCGAGGCCGTGCCTTGTTCGGGTTCCGCTTCGAATACCGTGTCTTCCTCGGGGTCTATCTTCGAAGCTGCCTCGAGAGACATGAGGTACTGGAAGCCGTGACACCCTCCGCTGGTCACAGTGATCCGAAGATGGTGGTATGGATTCTCCTCCTTTGTTGCCGACGGGGAAGAGGATGGATCCGTGATTTCTCGAAGACGCTGGCCAGCAGGTCAGTAATCTTGGAAAAGGATATGCTCCTTGAATGAGAAGTATGGGGGGAAAAGTCCAATAAAATAAAAAGGCAATAAGATGATGAAGACAAATTGAACAAGCCAAAAAGAAAAAGAGCTGAATAAAAAAACATACAACAGCCGGGATTCGCTGGTGGTCACCCACCCAACTACTAACCGGCCGGCGTGTGGCTTAAGTACGGCTG